AAAATAGCAGCACAGCCACGTGCACGTTGAAACCGAAACCAACCAAATTGAAGCAACCTAATGGCGGCGAATACGTCACCATCCCCTATCCGCCGGTCACGTAACTAATCCGATGAAAAGGATGTACCTAGAGCAACTAAATGAGCTACGCTTAAAGTATTGGCACTCCGTTCCCCGATCTGCTAGTGGGCGTCACCATCATGGTGCTTAGTGAAGAGCTGACGCAACTGTCGATTGTCACAATTCAAAAATGATGCTTCCTCAGCTTTAGGTGCGGTGTTAAAAAGCTGACGTGATATCGTTTTGCTGTGTCGCAAACTGTTTTAGCATGCCTGGAGGACGGAAAAGTGTTTCCTGCGATTTCAGATAAAGCTTCAGATAACTGGCCACCATGATTTTAATCACCAAGATGGCTGGAGTGTCGTTACTCTTAAGCGTAGCTCATTTGTAGCTCGAGGCGTACCTGATCGCCAGCCATGCCCCACGCTTCCCGCCGGTGACGTCACATTTGGATGATTGATTGAAAACACGTTTATTGACCTCATATTGCTTGGAGCGAGCTGCGGAGGTCAGTTAGAAGAAGGATAATGGATTAGGGAGCGGGGACCAAAGAAGAGGAGAAGAAGAGGGCAACACTTCATGGCGTCAGGGCTGTCGCTGAAAAGGGAGGGGGAGGCCGTGTCGTTTTTGCTCTAGCCGGAAGGAGCCGGTCCCCCACTGGAGGTGCAGTTGGGTCCCTTATGAAGTTAATAGCCCCTTCCCCTGGCAAATGTCGAGCGCTCCGCGTTAGCGGTCGTCGAGCGGTCGGCCTCCGTGAGCGATCGGTCACGTGATCCATCCCAGTGGCACGCGCTGCGGAGCAAATCGAGCGTAACGCTCCCAGCGCCACCGCTTCCAGAGCGTCCGCTCTCGCTTTTGAACAGTTGGTGTTCCCATTGCTATCTTGCTGAAAGCATGAAGTTCTGATCGGAACTTTATGCTTTGACAAAAAATTGATTGTTTACTACTTGAACGGTGACCCCGACGTTAAGACGCAATTTATTTTTTCTTGCAGTTATATAAGCCCGATGAAGACAACTAGAAGTACTTGTACGAGCCGTATGATGCTATAAAGCAATACCAAACACGTTTGCCGTAAAGCGATCGTCATCTCCGAATGCGACTTCCATCTACGGAGTATTTGGCGTGTTGCGTTCTAATTATTCCAATTACATTACAGAGACCACAAAACGAACAAACGACATACCTAGCTCTTCATCCGATAGGCGCGCACAACGCCTTCGACGTAACGCGGTATCTTGGGCCTCTTCGCTGGCCAGCCAAACGACTGGGAAACCACTTCGCCGAAAATGGCTGCCTCGTCGTCACTCGAGCTGGAGCTAAGCTGGTATCTTCGTCGCTGTCACTGCGTTTTATTAGACCTCCTGAAATTAACTGGAACGATGTCATCGCTGCAGTATGCTCGGGCTAGTCGGTCATGACGAGGGGAACGGAAACAAGTGCACCAAGAAAGCCCAACCAGCAATCGAAACAAAAAAGCCGCGAAACTCCTTCACTCTGTCGATAACGAAACTGAAACGTTGCGAGAGACGACTACAGATCGTACTCCTCCGAAAAAGGCTGTGCGGAGAACTACTCCGGACCGCTCGACGCGCTTCGCCACCTTTCCGCGGAGCGGTTGGAGCCGCTCGGCGAGCGCCCTAGTGGCTCCAGATCTACCAGCGGCACACGGAGAGATCGCTCTCATCTCGCGAGGGAAACACGAATTCGCTCGGCGAACGCGCGCCGAGCGCTCGCTATTTACCAGGGGGAGGGGCTATAAGTAATGCCTTCCAGAGCTCCAAAGCATGCTCGGGGGATATGGTGGTGTCTGGACATACCCAGGTGTTCAGGGATGCGGGTACTGGGGCGCTTGTGATGAGGTCCAAAGCCCGTTGCCGTGGAACATCATACAAAGGGCAATACCACATGAGATGGACCAGGTCTGCCTTAGAGTTACAGTAATTGCAGATGGCTGAGGCTGTGGAAGATCCCGCCCCTTTGTTCCCGCGAAACCGCTCTAAGAGATGCGGTGTCAGTATGGTCCCTATACTGTCTGAATTTGCCGAATGAGGACGACTTCCCTACGAGAGAAATGTTGGGCGGGAATCTTAGGGATGGATAGCGGGTTAGCGGCCATGGAGAAATAGACGGCACGCTGGGCTTTGGTACAGCGCACTTCGTGCCAGGGGTTGGAAATTTCCTTGGAGGGGTTGACTAGAGATGGTAATAACCAATATGGCAAATGATGTTCTACGTAAATAAAGGGGTATTCACACGAGGGAGAAATCCCGGGGATTTCTCCCCGGCACGCACGCATCACGAGATGAAAACGCGAGGCTTTAGCACATCGCAAAGCCTGACGTTTTCGTCGTGGGATGCGCGTGCCGGGGAGAAATCCCCGGGATTTCTCCCTCGTGTGAATACCCCTTTAAGCTCTTGGTCAAAACAGAACCGTCTAAAAGTTAATTCTAATAAAACTAAAGCCGTTTTCTTCTAAACAAGAGGAACGCCTATCCCATTGCATCATAACATAGCGTTTAATCACAGAAACATCGAAGTTTTGGACACTGTAAAAGTGCTTGGCACGTACTTCTCCAGTAACATGCAATGGGACGAGCATGTTAACTTTGTACTACTCAAAATTAGTCAAATAGCTGGTATACTGAATCGAAATAGGTATATTCTTCGGGAATCAGTTAAATTATTAATCTACAATACGCTATTTGTATCTCATATTAACTATTGCCATCTTGTATGGGGCACAACAACAGAATCTAACCTCCATAAATTATACTTAATGCAAAAGAGAATGATACGCGTTATTGCCAATGTCTCATACACCGAACATACTGACTACCTTTTCAAGAAATATAACATTCCAAAAGTTCATGACATATACCGAAGGAGGCCTATGCGAGATTTTTATTATAGCACGAGGAAAAATACCTCTACACTCTTAGAAATAGGAAACTTAGAAAAAAGGCAACCTTCGCATAAAACACGAACTCCAGAACCATGGATAGTTCCTCGTTCTCGGACAAATTATGGTGACCAAATGCTTAAGAATACTTTGCCTCGACTACTAAATTCATTTGAGGAGGCTGGCACCGATATATCCTCTATAACACCTTCTGAATTGAGATATCTTTTATGTTCATTTTATGATACCGGTGCCCTTAGAACTGCCTGAAATGAAAACGAGCTATTTCCTAGAATTGTTTTGTGTTCCTTACCCGACCTAATCATGTTAAATTGCAACTGTATACTAATGTGTGGAGCTGTATCGAATGAGTGAATCTGATTGACCAGGAAGTGTTTTGTTACTGTGTGTGAGTGTTTTGTGAGTCCAATGCTGCCATCATTTAAAGGGGGCCGAGGGCCCCACAAGCTGCGTTTGTAGCTTTTTTCCTCGGCCTCCTCCATTCTGTATGAAATGGAAACCAATAAAGAAAGAAAGAAAAAAAAAAGAAAAAGAGGGTCTCTTGGCCAGCGCGGAGAGATGTGCGCGCACTAGTCTGTAGGCTTTCTCATTACCGTGTATTCCACAGTGGGCAGGGACCCATCGTATGATGAATTGATGGCCGGACGCTCTCAGAGATGGGACGGCCACCTTGAGCACTTGTAAGGTAAGTCCGGTATATTTGGTGTCCGAGAAAATGTGGTGTACCGCGTGCGAGTCGGTATAGAAATCAAGTGCGTGTCTGGTGCGTCTTCCTCTGCCGTAAGAAGTGGGTCTCGCGCATAGTCTGTGATGGCTTGAAGCTCTGCTTGGGTGCTGAGCGGGGGCGTAGTCGTTGTGTGCAGGTGTCGTGCCTGTGCTTCCGTGTTACAGTTGCACCACACCGTGGCGCACCTGACATCGCATGAGTGATCAGCTGGCAGGCATGCATCGACGTAAATAACGTGGGTGCAGTCGTAAAGCGAGCGAATGTATTTTAAGTGCCGTCTTCTGAGAGGGAGGCGCCTGCCGGTGCTTTGTATCCGCTGGGGTAGGAGTTAGTGATGCAAAACTATCGATAAATTGACTATCGATACCAGATAGTTTTTCCAAAACTATCGATAGTGTCTCAGAACTATCGATAGTCGACTATCGAAAGTACTATCGATAGCTTTTCGATAGTCGACTATCGATAGTACTATCGATAGTTTTTCGATACTCGACTGTTGATAGTACTATGGATGGTTTTTCGATAGTCGACTATCGATAGTACTATCCATAGCTTTTCGAGAGTCGACTATCAAGTACTATCGATAGTTTTTCGATAGTCGACTATCGATTGTTTTTCGATAGTCGGCTATCGAGTACTATTGATAGTTTTTTTTTACTATCGATAGTCAGATTTCTGGCGACTATCGATACTATCGATATTACTATCGATAGTTTTGCTCCGCTAGTAGGAGTTCCCTCGGTGTTCCCACGGCAGGGTCTGTTGTGGGAGTTCGGGCAGATCGTGCACGGCGTAGCCTAGTTTGGCAGGGATAGACCGGCCGGCTGGTGTTGTACGAAGCCGTGCCTCCTGGATGTTGTAGTGCGTGGATACGAGTTTGCTGAGATTGTTGATGCTCCCGCAACTCTTGAGCGCATCTAGGAGTGTGTACCTAGGATGGTGAGTCTATATGAGTCTATATAGAGCTAGAATCTGAGTCCGATTGACTGGATGATATGGGAGACCATAGAGGAGCCGTGAGATGACAAATGCCTGCACGAATTGCCTCATCTCTTGTTCGCGAACACCGCAGGTGCGTGTTGAGATTAGTCGAAGGATGTGTATAGGGTCTTCTTTACTGATCCTGTTGTTCTTTGGATCCATGAGTTGGCTGTGTAATTTTCGTCCAGGTACATGCCCAGGATGCGAATGGTAGATCTCCTGGCGATGGGTTGGTCTCCGATAGAGAGGCTGTACATGTTCTCGGCCAACACGCGTGAGCTATCCCTGACCGGTGTGCCTCTCTTGCAGAATGTCAGGCCATGAGCGAGCGCCGCCCCATGTGCGCGCGACGTCTGCTGTACGTGGTGATCGGGCTGTGCACCGTGCTGCTGATGGCGGGCTTCGCGCTGGGCCTGGCCGTCCACCTCAACTTCTTCTTCCTCGGCCTGCTGGGCTTGCTGCTGTTGGCCATCTCGTGTCCGCTCCACTGTATCCTGCAGACCTGCCAGCCCCCCTCGACGGCCCCCGAGAGTCCACCGCAGCCTCGGGGGGATGCACCGCCTTCGTACGAGCTGCTCTTCGTGGTCAATGACGATCCTCCGCCCAGCTACGACAAGGCGCTGCAGTTCGCGAACCTTCCCCGTGTGCACTTACTGCCGCAGCGACAGCCCCATCGTTTGGACAGCATCAGCGTACTCAAGCTGTAAATCACCGTTCACTGTACTCTAAATGCGCAAGCTTGTCAAAGATTCAGGGAGAAGCGGTCTCTCGCTCGGACTTTGTTTTTATGTTCCTCTTCGCCGCATGTGTGTGTGTGTGTGTGTGTGTGTGTGTGTGTGTGCGTTATTGTAAGGGGTATTGATCTGACATTGATCCGCCATTTTGTTGTTTATGTCAGCGTGAGGACGTATACGCTTATTTGCATTACGCGTTTGAGGGGTGTCATGTGAATCCTTGAAATGCTCACCTTAGACAAGTGTCAGACAGTTCATAACAAAAATTGTGAACGAAGTCATGTCAGTGCATACCTCCTGTTCAACGCGATAACGCGTTATGGCGATAAACTGTGATATCGAGTTCGCGGACATCTTTGAGGCTCGTTTGGGGTTTTAAGTTGATATTTTGGTGTCCTCTGTCTCTTTTTCTATTTTAATGCGATATCATTCTTAAGCTACTACTCAATATTTCCAGCTATGCATATTCTGGCCTCCTAATACGCAGTAGGTATGCCCATTAGACCTTTTCAACTCACTGTGCTTGCACCCCATTGCGCTTCGCGTATGCGGAGTGGCAGTACGCATTACTTCACATTTCCATCCCCTTCGAATGACCTCACGACCTAGACGTCGTCCTCTACGTCGTCTTTGAGGTCCTCCTAGAGGTCGTCCTTAAGATCACCTTAGAGGCCGTCCTAGAGGTTGCCCTAGACGTCGTCTTTGACGTCGTTCTTGACGTCTTCTTAGATGTCGTCCTTGAGGTCGCCCTAGAGGTCGTTCGAGATGTCGTCTTTGACGTTGTCCTCTAGGACGTAGTCCTATACGACGTCGTCCTATACGACGTCAAGGACGGCGTCTAGGACGACGTCGAGGCCGACGTCCTATAGGACGACGTTACAAATAACGTCTAGGACGAGCTCAAGGACGACCTCTAGGGTAATCTCAAGGACGACAAAGATTTAGCTTCGTCCTAGAGGACGACGCTAAATTTAGCACAAAACTTACAACCTATGCACCAACCCAGTTTCCCCGCTAAATTTGGCGGTGTGCAAAGATAAATGCTATAGTATTCATAGATAATCACCCCTGTGGTTTCTACAAATTTGCCTTGACCATCAATTTGCTACCCTGTAATTTTTGTAAATGGATTGCTCTGATTGTGCTTTTGTCATATTCACTCCAATAGTTTTAGGATGTATATGTATAAATGCGTGTTTTTATTGTGCGATATTGTTTACGCAATTTTATTTTATGAGAATACGCTGCTTTAGGCTTTATTTACATGGTGCGATTTTACTTGCGGTTACGCAATTGCGACTTCGCTCGTGCGGCAGGAAAAACCTGAGGGAAGTTGCGATGCCCGACGTCGCGGCTGCGACGTCGGGCACCGCAACCAGAATTGCACCATGTAAATCAGGCTTCAAGACTGATTCACATGGTGCGATTTTGCTTGCAAATTCGCAGCTGCGGCGTCGTACACCGCAGTGTCCCCCAGGCTTTTTGTGCCGCACGAGTGGCGTCGCAACTGTGAAATCGGAAGCAAAACTGCACCATGTGAATCATGCTTAATGCGGGAACATTTGTGCGAAAAGTCATCCGGAAAACGTGCCCTGAAAACGCAAAAACATTGAACTTAAAAAAAAATAATAGTTTTACACCTTTAAAGGAGCTGTGTATATGTGTATACGTCACAGCGCACGTGACTCGGAAGATGGTGAAGGATTTGAAAGGTGCCAAGAACTTAAATCTTTGTCATTTTTTTTTAATGAGCACAATACATGCAGGTAAAAGTTTTTTTTTTTTTTTTTTTTTACTTCAGAAGGGTCGAGACACCAACTCCCACAACTATTAAGGCGAAGCACTGAAATTGTAGTATAGCTCCTTTAAATAATAATAAAAAAGAACAGCATGAGGGTAATTGCGGAAGGAAATTTGCGACTATGATTGTGACAAGACCTTATTCGTGGTTTGCGCGCAATAACAAATATACGGTTCTCATGTCCCGATTTCCGAATGGATTTTCGCACATGTGTTTCAGCCCTTATGGGCGAGTATACCAGACGAATTATTCGCAACTCCTCTCGTTTTATCGGTTCTCTGCTAGCGTCCCTTTATAATTTTGAGAGCGCCCCTTTTAAAATCTCGTGGTTTGACCTCCTTACGTCTCGCAAGAGGAACGCTGTACGAATTGTTTTTTCCACACAGACCGTTACCTTGGAATTACTTTTACCTACATGTCTTGCGCTCATCTGTCGGCAAAGCGTGTCTAAAGAAGTTAAGTTATCGGGACATTGAGGCACCCTACTCATGAGTGTCTGCTGTACTGTGTGGTACAATTGCGTCAAAGTAAGCATGTGGGCATGGTTTCACCTTGACGAGAAGTGTGGAGTGAGCGCTTGGTTGTCACAAGGACTCGCCGAAAAATCAAGTGCCAAACGGCGGAATGCTTTCTTTGAGCAGTGTAGGTCAAGCTGAACCATTAAATAAACTACGTAGAATTTTTCAGAGTGTAACGCAATGCGCGGTCGCACCGGCAAACAGAGCAGTGTCTTATCTCCCCGGTTATCCCCAAGATATGAATAAATATTTTTGAGGCTGCTATATCAAAGGCTATGTAAGCTGGTGAATCAACGTCGCGCACGCTTTGTTTGATCCTCTGGAAGCGCTCACCTATTTCTTTATCTGTACAAGGGGCAGGACAGGAAACCGTTGCGAAAACGGTTTCAGCAGGAGCTCAGAAGCAAGCTGCTATATACACTTGGAATGAAGAGCGTGCTGGTAAGAATATTATAAATAATGGGAAGAATATAAAACACAAATCCTCTTGTCCGTCCGTGTGTTTTTTTATGTTTTTTCCATTACATATGTTATGCTATATGGACCTTTCCAATAATCGCCTTCAGCGCGCTGCCATATTTGGCTACTGGGCTGTGGTTAACCGAGTGGTCTAGCGCACTCTGAAGTCACTGAATCTGGGAAAGTAGAGCTATTGCCTTCCCTCTAGCTACTAGCCGGACACAAACAAACACCACAATGCAGACGACAAAACCTCTCAAAGGGATTGGCTCATCGCTGTTGGTTGCCATGGTGATCAGCATTTCGGATCCTTTCAAAACGTCGAAGCTTCGAAAGGGTCAATAGAACAAGTCGCACCATGATCGCTATGGAGCAGCATCGTACTGAAAGCGTTCCTCGGCCAATATGAGCGTCTTTGTCACTGTGCATGCAATAAACTTATTACTCATGCTTATTTCCTCATATCTCTAACAATCATGTTCCTCTTCTTGCGTGTTTCAAGACAGTAAAAGTATTTTTCAATGCCCCCAAGCAACGGCGCCGAGTGTGATGCCGTACACCTTCGTACCGCCATCACACGCAGTGGCAGTGCTTGGAGCCAGTGAAAAATAAATTTACTGACTTGAAACAAGCAAGAAGAGCAACATAATTATAAGATATCTCGGGAAATAAGAATGAGTGATAAGTTCATTGCATGCACAGTGACAAAGGCGCTCGTATTGGCCGAGGAACGCTTTCAGTACTATGATGCTCCATAGCGATCTTGGTGCGACTGGTTTTAAAGGCCCTTTCGAAGCTTCGAAGCATTGAAAGGGTCCAAAATGGCGATCACCATGGCAACCGACAGCGACAAGACAATCACCTTGAGCGATTTTGTCGTCTGTGAGTTGGTATTTGTTTGTGTCCGGCTAGCAGGTGGGAGGGATCGGGCAATGGCGCTGCCTTCCCAGATCCAGTGACTTTAGCGCACACTATAGTGCCACTAAATAAGCTACGCTTCAGAGTAACGTCACTTGCTCATATTGTGTCTTAAGATCATGGTTGCCGATTATCCGAAGGTTTATCTGAAATCACGGAAAACGCTTTTCCGTCCTTCACAAATGTTTAAACCAGTTCACGACAAAGCAGAGCAATATCACATGAGCTTCCGAAAACCGAATCTAATGCTGAGGAAGTCGCATTTTGATTAAGAATTAAAGGGATACTTCAACACAATTTGAAATGTATCCGTCGTGTTCAAAAATAGGTTGAATATGATCCACAATATCCGTAAATGACAATCGCACGTTTGTATTTTGAGCCTGGTGGCTGTATTTTTTGTTATAAACGGCCCACTCTAGCAAGCGCTCGGAGAAGGCCCAGCTTAGAGCACGTGACATCCGACGCAATCGTGACGTAGGTCGTCTCGGGACGAGCAAAGCTACGGCGAGGCTGACGTCGAGGGGATGGCCTAGTCGTTCCAGCCACCGAAGCGGCTGCTTTTGTACGAATTTTGAGTGACGGGTTAATCTTTTATAATCTTGTAGGGGGACAATAGCTACTTATGGAACGCACAAAAGGGATTCTCAGGAAGACGGGAGATCCTCCTTCCCCTCTTCTCTCGTCGTGGCCGGAGGCGAGACAATAACCGTCACTACCTCTCAAGGTTCCTAGACGGGCATTACAAACGAGACGTTAGCGACATCCACCAGGTGCTCTTTGTTAAACGTTTAATTTGTTTTAAAATTCCTTTTCGTGACTTTTTTAACAAGATATTGGTGCATTCGATGTGATACTGCTCCTCTGAACACATATAGACCGTAAAATAAGCGCCGAAATTTTGTTGTAGTATCCCTTTAAAACCTTGAGACAAGGAAACAAAAAGGGGACATACACCACTGTCTCAGGACGGTGTTGTGTATGTCCCCTTTTTGTTTCCTTGTCTCAAGGTTTTATTTCTTAATTTGAGACGGTGGTGTGTATGTCTCCATTTTTTTTCCTTGTCTCAAGGTTTTAATTCTGAATTATGATTGTTGACCAGCTCGCTTGAGTTTTGACTGTTATTTCGCACTTTTGACTCATGACGACTGGCAGTTGCGTCTGCTCTGCACAAGCAGCAAAATTGCGGCGCCACAACAATGTTGGGGAACAGAGTGCCGACACTCAAAGCGCAGCCCATTAGCGCACACCAGCTCGGAGCTCGTGGAGCGAAAAGGGGTGTTGGGGGGAGGGGGATCGGTGGCCGAGTGGTCTAGCGCACACCAGCTCGGAGCACGTCTAGAGACAGCTCGCGCTGCGGATCTCAGGGATCCTGGGCTCAATCCCCACCCCTGCCCGTTTCGATCTGGATGAGCATCGTACCGGCGTGCGGTCATGCAACACTACTGCGTGGTGCACGTTAAAGACCCCAGGCTAGCGGTTGTACTGCACTGGCTAGATTTCCCATCTACAGCTGGGAGACTCGTCGTCTGTTGAGGCAGACTAAGTTCTAGGCTGTATAAACACACATACTACTCAATGTTTTTTTTTTTACTGAGCTGTGGAATACGTTTTGAGCGTGCGCGGTCTTCCACGAAATGTGAGGCGCCGCGCATGCATCCACAGCCAACTGACTCGTCATTTTTCGCCTGGCTGATAAGTGCTGGAAAAGTCTATACGAGGCGCATCCAGAAAGCTAGTTGCATTTGTGCTTGAGTCCCGCGAAAGTATTTCCCTTCTGAAGTTCCTCCCAAGTTCCATAATCCAATAGACGCATTTTGACGTCATTTCAGCCGGGGTCGCACTGCTTATGCATCATACAAAAGGCAGTCTGCATACAGATTCGAACGCGAGTCACCGGGAGATCCGTTTTTTGAATGCCGCATGACAATGACTTCAAGAAGCAAACTTGGCAGGCGGCACTCGAACCACGGATATGGTGGTAACTTGTGTTTGCAGACTGTTTTTTGTATGATCTATGAGCAGTGGGACCAGGGCTTTAGTGTAACTACAGTGGCCTACAATGGGGTAGTGGACTCACCGCGCTCGTTTACAGAGGCGGTTCATGTCTAAATTGAGAGATGGCGCGCTCCTGTCGACTCCTCCTGAAGCTTTCCCGCGCTTCTGCGCTAGCGTGCGTATCAGCGCGTCTGTGCGTCGCTGCTTTCTTCGTCAGATAGATGGGAAGGTTCGGAAGAATCATAGGAACTGCGTCGGCCGAGAAAGGGGATCGGTGGCTGAGTGGGCTATACTCTGTTTCGCCTTATGTTGTGCCGCAGTGAAGGCTAGAAGCGGGAGATCATAGCGCTGGCAGTTGCTATTAATGCACGAGAGCTTGTGCCGCCGAGATGTGCCCTAGAGCAAGGAGCTCGCTCTTGTAGCCTTTTCTGCTGTACATCATAAGGTGAAACAGAGTATAGCGCACACCAGCTCGGAGCACGTGGAGCGAAAGCTCGCGTTTAAGAACCTGGGGATCCTGGGCTCCCGTTTCGATCTGGATGAGCATCATACCGGCGTGCGGTCGTGTATCACTACGGCGTGGTGCATGTTAAAGGGCACCATGACAGAACAGCACACGACATAACAGCACGTGACAAAACAGCACGGTCATAACAGCACGCGTCAAAACAGCACAGCGTCAAAACAGCACGGCGACAAAACAGCACGCGTCAAAATAGCACGCGACAAAACGGCACAGCGTCAAAACGGCATAGCGACAAAAGAGCACGTGCCAAAACAGCACGGCGTCAAAACAGCACGACGTCAAAACAGCACAGCGACAAAATAGCACAGCGTCAAAACATGACATTGACAATATAGCTAGAGTTCGGCGTTTTCGGTTTGTATTATTTGAAATTCCGCGCACTTTTTTTCGGTTTTTATTCCAAACAAAAGTTTTCGGTTTATTGCGGTGAATATTTGTAGACTCATAAACTTCTCAGCTATATTAGGTTTATTGACGAAAACCAGCATACTAACGAAACTGCAATAATTAAAAGTGTTTGTGTAAAATGTATATTAAGTACCAGGTACATGGTCTTCTTATTTGTTCCCGTCTTTGGCAGCCGACGCGACCTGTTATGTAAGACCCACTGGGGCCTTACCGTGATCTGACATTATCGTCGTGTGCTCGTATTTGTACACAGGAAGAGCATAAGCTTGAGTACCACTTCGGTCGGAGATGCAAATATCAAAATGGAGAAATTAGCAAGCATTGCGCTCGGTGCGCTTTCCCCCATTTTCATGACTGCGAGAGGTGATAAATTCGCGCCGACGGCAGAAATGACAATAAAACACTCGTATTTATGCCCTCCTCTAGTAGACGGAAGCTAGGGGTGTTAAACAATGCGCGGCATTTACGGACGCTCTTGATTTCCGTTGTTTGATTTCACGATTAAACTCTCTTCTTTTAACAAAAAAATCGGTACAAATCCCTATCAGGTGAAAAACCCAGATTTCGTCCTGAAGACCCCTGCGCCCCCGGAGCTTTTGTTGAAAGTTGAACCGATCCCGCAGACAAGCTGAAAACTGCGAAAGGAAGTATCATAAGGTCAGTAATGAGTAGGGTTCCGTGTTGTCGGAGTTTAGTTTTCGTCAAGTTCGGAGAGGTTTTTTTTTAGTTTATTTTTTGCCGAAAATTCGTAGTTTATCGGAGTTTATTTTTGTTTGATTCCGAATTTTCCGAAATTCGGAGCTCAGTTTCGCAGTGTTTCTTATTAAAAATAAACAAATAATATCCAAATGTAAACGTATGCTGGACAAAAAAGGAAAAAAAAAAACGCGATCGTATCAATTATTATTTTCTTCAGTTGGATTTGGCATTGGTGCTACTACTGGCAATACTAATTTGTCCTAG